CCTGCAGCCGCTCGCCCAGGCGCCGCAGCTCCGCCGCGCAGCCGCCGCCGCTCAGGCGCTCCTGCTCGGCCTCATCGTCCGCCATCTTCGCAGCCCGCTCCGTCGCGTACGCACCTGGGTCACGTGATAACACAATGCCACGTTCGGCGGGGTCACGTGCCCGGTGCGCTGGCACGCCTGGGCGCACGTACAAAGGCCGGCGGTGCGGGGCTGCGGAGAGCTGAGGCTTCGGCGGCCGTGGCCCTGGCGGTTGCACGGGCTGCAGAAGAGCTGGAGGCCGGGGCTGAGTGCGGAACCGGTGCTTGCCCTACTCTCCGTGCCCACCCAAGAACTCCGCCTGGAAACATGCTCTCTAGGTGTCGAGGGCCCACAAAGGAAACAACTGGGTTGGAACAGAATGAGGTCCAGTTTTCATTCTGGAAAACCCTTGCTGCGAACACGAGAAAAGTATAGTTTGGAGACAATTCAAACAGACCGAAAGGATTAGCGTTGTAGCCAGGCGGTTTTTAAGGCGCAAACGCTTTTTTAAAATAAATCTGTTTCGCCACTGTTTAAGATTGCTGCCCGCTTACAAGAATTGACACCTAAGGCAGGCTCTTGAAAGTAGGTCAAGGAAAAAGAACACTATTAAGGATTCTAAAGTAAAAGAACAAGGATGGCAATAAATAAATAGCTCCAGCGTTCTCCCCCTTTGGTGCTGCAAACAGATGACCTTCTAAACCATATTTTTTTACTTGCACCCCGAAAGCAATGAATTCTTGGCATAGAACTGTAGAGGAGGGTTGTGGTTGTGTGCACCTTTGTAATTCCAGCTCTGAATGGAGGCAGGAGGTTCAGAAAGAAGTTCATCCCTGGCTACATAGTATTTTCTCGGCCAGCCAAGCCCACACTTTATAAGACCCTGAAACAAGCAAAATTTTAAAGTGGAGGGGGAGGGGAAATAAGAGGTGCTCGGGAAATCAAAGTGCTTAACCATAAATCCCATAATCAAGTTAATAGCAAAGCCAATGTTTGGGGACGTGTGACAAAGTCAGTAGAGTGCCTGACTTCCATCGAGGGGCCCCGGTTCAGTTCACCACACTGCATAAACCAGGTCAAAGGCACACAGCTCCTTGTTTAATCTAACCACTCCCCAGCATTAAACAGAAGTTCAGGTATGCTACACAGCCAGTTTCAGGCCAGTAAAAACAAGCAAACAAACCAAAAAAAGCCACAACCTAATGCTACTATTAGAGGCAAGAGGAAGATGCCTTTCTTACAACCGAATCCTTTATGAAACAAAAAACAAATAGAGATAAGACACCTAGTCTATTTTCTATTATGCTCTGACTGAGCAATATTTTTTTTAGTTATCTAAAGTAAAAATTCATCCTGGCTGCTGGCTCAAGCAAAACAGCAGCGAACAGGAAGCTGAAGTCTTGGATCTCCCAGTCCAATCCAGCCTGAGCTACATTGTAATACCCTGTCTCAAAAAGTAATTTCTATTGTATACAGTAGCTTTGTCAGGAAAGCTATATAATAAAATCAAATGTGGCACAACCCTGTAATTCTAGTATTTCAGAGGCAGAAGCAGAAGGACAGGAAATGGAAAATAATCTCTAAATACTATGTTGCCCCAGTGGATGTTTGTAAATACATGTTTTAAAATCATTACATAAGATGAACAGGCACAACTAAATCTTTTATGAGAAACAGCATCAGTGTTACATATTAACAAGACTAAATCTTCTAATGTTTGCTTATGCAGGAGGCCAGGGGAACACATTGAAAGGCTAAGGATTTTCTCTTAGTGGATATAACTGCCTGGCGGAGCCTCACAGCCGCAAGGCAGACAGCACCACACCTGGTTCCAGGAAAAGCCTCAAGCGGACACCATCCCGGGAAGGGCCAACTACGAAAGGGAAGTACCTGACATTCCAACCAGTAGATAAGATTAGATAAGATCACCAGAAGTCCCCAGGGCCAGGACTCACCTTTCCTCTCCTTTTGCCAAGACCCTAGACAAAAGTCAGCCAATCAGGATCCTGAACCCTAGAAATCCCCTCACCCCAACCTCTACTATGATAAAAACAATACCCCACCTCTAAGTCGGACAGACTTGAATGCTTAAATAAACGCTCTGCTTTTACGAACAATACTCGGTCTCCTAATTGGTTGATTTTTTTGTTGTTGTTGTTGTTTTGGTTTGATTTTCGGTTTTTCCGAGACAGAGTTTCTCTGTAGCTTTGAAGCCTGTCCTGGCACTCGCTCTGTAGACCAGGCTGCCTCGAACTCACAGAGATCTGCTGGCCCCTGCCTCTACTCAGTCTCCTAGTTGGTTTTTGAGGGAATCCTGTGATCTGGGCATAACAGTAACAGTTCAAAAGAGTTGAAAAACCAACAAACCAACAATAAAGGCAGCTGTTTTGTCTTTGCCTAGTGCCTGTAGGCACTACCTCTGAGCTATCCTGTAACCCCCCCTTGCTAATGATTTTTAATTTTGTAGTTTGCTTTCCCAAATTATACATTATTCAGGTATTGAAGTAAAATTTCATCAACTTATGCTATTTTAGGATTCCAGTGAAAAACATATAAAAAATATGTGGCCAGGCAGCAGTGGTGGCACACACCTTTAATCCCAACACTTGGAAGGCAGAGGCAGGTGGATCTCTGTGAACTCAAGGCCAGCCTGATCTGTGGAGTGAGTTCTAGGACAGCCAAGGCTACAAAAGAAAGCTGTCTCAAAAAAAAAAAAAGACAAAGGAAAAGGAAAAAAACAGTACATCTGTACATGATTAACCAATGCACTGATAAAGCCAAGGACTATAAAATAGCAAAGATTATGGGTGGTTAGTTTTTCTTCAGTTGTAATGGATTACACCACATTTCATCTACAAGAAGGAAAAATGTGTGGATGGGGTGTGGAGGGACATATTCAAAGTGAAGTATTCTTTGAATGCTGCTTTTTAAATGATTCTATAGGGCTGGGTGTGTAGCTCAATAGCTCCATGGTTAGAGCAAGTATGCATGAGGCCCTGCTGATGGGGGAGGGGGACCACCTAAAAGTGTCATTCCTACCTTCAGGCCGTGATACCTTTACAGTTAAGGAAAATGTGTTAGGGGCTGAAGAGATGGACTCAGTGATCCAAAGCATCAGCTGCTTCTCCAGAGAACTAGGGCTGGATTCCCAGCACCAACAGGATTGCTCACAGCTGTCTGTGACTTCAGTCCCATCGTATCTGCTGTCCTCTTCTGGCACCTGACAAGCACCGCAGAGTGGGGGCATTAAGCAGGCAAAAGACCCACACACGTACTGGAATGGTAAAGTGATTCTGAGCACTAATACTGTCCTATAAATGCAGCTGTACCCTTCACTTTATCTAGTGTCTGTGAATCCCGTCTCCTTATTTCTGCGTCCCTTCCTCGCTACATGTGTGTGAAAAGTGCCGTCTCCAGAGAGGATAAGGTCTGGGGTGAGTGATACCAACAGAACTCAGTATTGAGCAGGCAGTAGCCGGTTTGAGAAAATTAGAATAGGATCAAAACGATCTCTATCTTGAAGGAACAAGTCCACTAATCGGAACACCTACAACATAACCAGCACTCTCTGTGAAAATGTACGCATAATCCGGGTGCAGCGGCAAACACTGATAGTCCTGCCACTCAGGATGCAAAAAGATGTGGCGTGCAAAGTCACTCTCAGTCACATAGCAGGTTCCAGGCCAGCCTGGGTCACAGGAAATTCCATTCAAAAAGAGACAGTGCATATGGATTCACGTAAGAACATTAATCTGACGGAAGTGTTTCGGCACAACATCCAGCAAATCTCTGCACAACTGCGGGCTGAATTTTTTTTTTTTTTTTTTTGAGACAGGGTTTCCTATTTTTTAGTTAAATGAGAAATAGCTATTCGTGGTGGCTCAAGAATGTAATCCCCACACTTGGGGGCAGGTGGAGTGGTAATTCCAGGCCACTCTCTGTCTCAAAGAGACCAACGATCCCTTGATAACCTGGGAGAGCCCAGGAAATCGTGTTTCCCGCAGAGAAGAATCAACCACCACACTGAATGGAAATGAGGACTTGACAGCTCCTAGATATGGCTGAGAAAGGAGAGAGCATCCAGAGACGTCTGAGAGAGTCCAGACTGAACTTGGTCAGCGGACTAGACCAGGTCCTGGGGTGGGGTGGGGCAGAGAGAGGAAACCAAGGGAGACCTGAGAACCAAGAGTGAAGAAGGGAGCATCCAACCCAAATAGCGGAGTCTCATAGGAATCAGAAGCTGGGGAAAGGAAAACAATGCCCTAGGGCTGGAGAGGTTCGAGGGTAAGGAGCAGGGAGGGGGTGTGTGAGAAGCGCTGAGAGAAGCCAGGACGCGGCAACAGGTACTGGCAATACCAAGAGAACCTAGCGGCCTGCCACCGCCTTGACATGTTAAACAGGCATCTCGGGTATCCATTCGCTCTGGGTGTCTTTGGGACCTAACCTACACAACTTACTGTGTCCCTAAGCTTCATAAGTACCAAACTGTCGGTTTATAGCAACCATTGCACACACACACATACACACACACACACACACACACACACACACACACTCTCTCACACACACTCTCTTCTCTACCCACAGGCTCCTAAGAGAAACTGGAGACCTATTCCATAAAGTGACAAGCCTTGGGTCACAAGCGTCCAGATTTCTGGGAACGGTACTACGACACTTTGACACAGCGGGGCGTGGTGTCACAAGGGCCTTTCGCTCTCTAGCGCAGCGCCCCAGCCACCAGTTACACTTCCGGCACTTGGGCGGAGCTGCCGTGCTTCCGGGTCGCGCCAGCTCCCCGGCTGCGCGGTCTGCCGCCCAGGTCTTGCACACTCTTCAGGAATTCTTCGACTGCGGGGCCCGCAGGCGGGAGTCGGGATGTCTGGTGTCTGCAGCCCACAGGCGGTGCATGTCACCCGGCTCCAGCCGCCGCCACGCTGCTCCCAGACCCCGTCTGCACCTTGCAGCCCGCAGCGCGTGGGTCGGCACTCCACGACTCGAGCCGGCGCAGTTTTCCACGCCGCAGCGCTGCGGGTGGAAGCGTCCGATGCCCGCGGGGCATGTCCTCCAGTACCGGGAGTGGCAGCGCCGGG